AGAAAAGTTCCCTCATAAATATGTGAGGCAGTGAAAAGTTAATAGTTTAGATGGTGAACTACTATCTTTAACAGCTAATTCGGAATCCATAAAAATTAATTGAATCAGTTCCATTCTCAAAATTATTGTTAGGGGAGGTAATTTTTGTTGCTTACATTCACTTAATGGTTTGAAAAGTTTTTTGTCAACCAAACAGCAAGATGCATAGCTAAAAAAACTCTGAAAGTCCAGTTCCTTTGGATAAAAAGAAATTTTCCATGGTCTGTAGCTAGTCTGTTAGTCTTTCCAAAGGAAGAATACCGAATGCTTTGGCTAGCTTTCATCTATGGGAAGTTCAGTCCAAGATGCATGTGCTAGATAGGAGGTTATTCTTGTTGAACCTTAATTTCAACCTTCTCTTTCAACATTTTTGCATGATATAGAAAGTTTTTAACTAATCCATATTCTGTATATCTTCTAGAGAAATGAAGTGTTGAAAACATCATAAAACAAGATGTTTGCAGCTTTAAAGTATCACTCAACAGACTATTTATATGAGGTATAGTTTTATTATTTCTCTTAATATTCTGAAAGATGACAGTAACTGAATAAAAGATTGAGTGCACATTTTAAAAATAGAGTGCTACTTTCTTAGGAATTCTTTTTCAGTCACATTGTACTGTACTTGCTGGGATAACGTAGTGAATTGATTACAGGTTTTTATAAAAATTAAAATACATTTTTGCTAAAACTAAAAAGTATCTGTTTATTTTATTGTCTGTGACACTTATAATCGTGTTTTATAGCCTGTTTCCTGCTTAGAGCTTTCTTTGGAGAGTGCACTGCACCTTCTAATTGATAAAATTCAATTAATTACCTTTTTGGAGAACGAATCCAATTTTCTCGCTACTTCAATATGTATTAGGATAGTGACATGCAACACTGTATTCCCTACTGATGGTAGGAAAGAGGTTTTGTTATGTTGATGTTATAGAATTCACGGACAGCAGATGTTTTTTCATACCTACAATGAACATTTTGACTTCACAGATGTTGATCAGTTGAAGCATAAAAACCTTATGAAGTCTTGTTTTCCTTCCTGCTACATCTTTGTGATTTTACCAGCTGCTTAGCACTGAAGCACGCTGTCTTAAGGAATTGAGTTTTTACTTATTTACATTTTCAATCAAAAGCTATAAGCCAAATTAAAAATGTCTCTGGCAGAGTGGTGCTTTGCCAAGAATGGGTATTTCCAGTGTGTGAGCAGAAGAGTAAGGTAGCGAGACAAGATGCCTTCAAGAGTTCGGGGAGAATGTAAGCACATACACAAGAGCTCCTGGCATATAGCTGAAGAAATGCAGCCTGGGGAGTAGTCCAGCAGTAGTACTTGCGGGTAAACTGAGACCCAGTTTATGAAACACATTGCCCACATCCCTTTCCTTAGAGTGCAGGAATTGTTCCTTACCGTACCTGTGTATGTGCCTAGTGATTTCTTAGATTGTAGAAACCAGAACTTTTTTTCTGTTGTAACTCCAGCAGTATGCAAGCTGTCATTCAATATTTGTGTGAAAACCTCCTCACAGTAGTTCCATCCAGTTTCATCTTCAGATGTTTCTGTGTTATCTTTGAATAAAAAATGGGTGTGTTAGCAAAACATGTTGCAGGCTATCATGCAAAAGAGAAGAATTACAGTTCTTGGCTTTTCTTGCCTGAATTTTGAGGAGTAGGGCAGTGCTGATGGCAGGACAAATTGAAAGTGGTAGAAGAGAAATATTCAGTGACCTTCTGAATGGCTGTTCTAGAACAGAGTGTTGCTATGTAATACTACCGACCTGCTAGAAATCACATGATAGTTAAATTGACTTTTCAGTCATCTGATATATCAAGTGCACTTGCCTAATGCTTCCAGTTCTTAGGAAACGCTGGAATTCGATGAGCATATCAAACTCTGTTTCCTGTGCACATCTGACTCAACTGGATGTGGAGTCCTGCTCTTAATGTAGTTGTTACGCATTTTTATCAACCCTAGATTTAGTTTTTCCAGCTGCGTAGTGTAAATGTATCTTTGAAGAAAGGAGACTTTTCAGTCATTAAAGACACAAGAGTTCGATTCCTCATGCTGCCGAGTGTCGTAGGTATGATTACAAAGTCATCGTAGAAGTGCAACGTTCTCTTATGTTGTAAACTGACAATATATGCAAGCTATATGGAACTATAAAAATGCATGTAATATCTTCCGGTTACAAGAGAAATTTGCAGAGACCTTTACACTTCCTTGAGAAATAGGGGTAAATATGCATTGATTAAATGCTGTAGCCATTAACAATGGCGTTGAAAAACACTTTTATGGATTTGAGAAAGGCAATTACCAGACTTTGTAAAGTGAACTAAGCTTAACCTCTCCACTTAGAAATTAATTTAAAATGTTCTGTAAAATGCACAGTTTTCCTGGTTTAAGTCCATTATCTGTGACAGTAGCCCTAGGATGTATTTGTTGCATTTTACAAACATCAGTCATTGAAAACAATTTTAGTTGTTAAGCTAAAGTTAGCCTCAGTAAAACTACATACTGCTGTTTAAAATCTTTCAGATCTCTGTCATATTATTGCTTGTATTTACTTGTTCAGCAGTTGGTACTTAAACTCCAGCAGGTCATTCTTCTGTAACCTAAGAGTACTTGGAGAGCTCTTCTATCACAATCTGTACAACTTGTTTTAATGAAGAGAAAGGTTATCATCAGCTCTCTTTGTTCCTGTGTTTTCTATCAGGAACTTCACTAGCTGTACTTTATTTTATGATAAATTCAGGTGTTTTAACAAGACCTTCAACAGAGATTACTTAAACTGCTCTTATGGCTGGTAACGTGTAGAAGACCCAGGTCCAGTTGCTTGTAGTTGTTTGTTTCTGCCTTCTTTGTTTAGAGTTTGTAAATGAGAAGATCACTTGATAAATGTCATGCTTTGACTTAGGCAGGAGGGAATGCATTGGATCAGTATGATGTTTATCAATTTTTTGAAAGAGCCTTCTAAAGAAAGGATGCTGTGATGGCAGTGGTTTTTGCCTTTTTTCTTAAAATGTAATGGCATTTACAGAATTGTAACTATCCCTCAAAGGATTAAACTGCAATTGAAAAAAGATCTATAATTGTGACCTTTCATAGTAGTGACAGTGTTTGTTCACATTACTTCCCATGTCTTCTTTTTTTTCCTTTTTTTTTTTCTTTTTTTTTTTCCCCATTTTCTCTCTGCCTATACAGGGAGGTTTGAAAAGTGCACCAACAACGTTGTTGTTCTGGTAGCAATCCAAGTTGGTGAACTATTTCTAGTTTGTCACCTGAGATGTCTAATGGTACAAGCTATAGCTGGCTTGATAGCATATGCTGAAATGGGTGGACATTTCTGGGACCTGAAGCAACAGAGATTAAGTCAGATGATGGTCTTGGAACTAGAAAGAAGTTTCTGGTCTCATTCATGATGTTCTCCCACATTTATACAGCTGGTTGCCTTTTCCAATACACCTTACACACCCCAGTATTTTTGATAACAGCTTCCTTCTAAGCTATAAACTTGTTAAATCCAAACCCCTGTGTAAGAATAATTTTTCTCTGCTTCCTAAACTCACTGTTTATTCTGTGGTTTTGTACTGTTTATACAGTACTGCATGTGAGTTTTTGTGACAAAAGAGTTGTTGGATTTTTTTATTGACTGTCATCTTCAGTGAAGAGTTCCTGAAGTTGCCCTTTTGACTATTTAATTCTAGAATTCAGTGTTGATTACTACCATGCTCCCCTGTTGTTTTAATTGAAGATAAAAGGATTTATGTAGGACTTTCTATAGCTCATAATGGCACACAAAAGCTGAGAGGCTTTAACATCTTTTGAACACTCAAAACAGCAATAGTAGGAATGATTTTAAATTCTTTCTGGTCAGCTTATACACGTCAGTTCAGGAGACCAATGCAAGTATTAGGATAAGCACTAGTAATTGCACACACAAAGTGTAGGTAAGTGTAGCTAAGCATATGTGCAATTTTACATATGCAGAAGTGTAGATTAAAAGTTAAATATCAGGTCAGGTAAATGCTAATATCTTCTATTAATTGCGACTGTGTCAGTTTTACAAAAAAAATTTTAAATACAAAATATCATGTTCTAGTAGAAAACACTTGAAAGCAGTGGCACTGTTTGAAAAGGTATTGCACAAAAAGAAAAATAATGGAACCTGTCTCTCCTAATTTTATCACAAGCCTTTTTTTGTGCAGAGCATGGCAAGGCAGAAGTTTTCCACCTGGAGATTATCACTTTGCTTTCCTCCTTGCTTACATCAAGATGAAAAGTATCATCTCACTGGACTCTTTGCTGATGATAAGTATAGGAAGCCATGGACTAGAAGTAGGTTATATAGTCCTTAAGTTTTAGTTTAGATTTACTGTGGATTAGAGGAAGAGCTTGTGTTTGTGCATAATATGTTAAGTCCGGTAAAAAAAAAAAAATTATTTCTGGAAGTAGCAGTATGTCAGTTCATATAGCTCTTGAAGGTAGAACATGCCTAAGTACAAACAAACGGATAATTGATATTTATTTGTGTACAACACCATAAATTAGGGTGGTATTTGATTATTTTGCAGAGATCTCTGGAAAACTTTCTGTCTGGGCATGTGCTCATGGAAAAAAAGCAATGCTCAGAGATAAGTTAAATACTTATCTGATTAGTTGGGATAGGTTTGAAAAATGATGCAAAGATTTTGAGATGCAGAAAAAAATGTGGATTTCCAAGCATAGAGGTAAAATATACATAAAAGTATTTGCATCTTTCTGGTGTATTTGCATTTACTTTGCTAATGGAAACTAAAAGCATTGTTTCTTTTCTATGTCCTGTGTAAAGTTGGGTTAGCCTCTGCAATGGCTAGATAAATGCATAAAAATAAAAATTAATTTTATTGTTTTCTATGTGATTATTTTTCTCTGTTTTTGTCTCAGTTACTTCAACACAGAACATGATTGCTATTTCGGTATTGGATCAATGGAAGAAAAGTTTATCTGTGGAGGATTTCCTGGAAAAGTCAGTAACCTTAAGCTAAAAACATATATTATTCCTTTTATATCGTTCAGGTACTTTGTGAATCACAAGCTAATGATAACAGAATATGGAAATGTTTTCTGACAGTAGCGAAGTGAAGAAATGTCTGAGTACTTTTAATTTGGACTTGAAGCTCAAACTCTTCCCTAACATTTGAGTTATAAAGAATGCACATTATGTGAAATTTCAGCTCATTTTAGCTTCTGAAGATGGAAAACTAAAAAAAAAAAAATAAAGTAATGTTAAAGAAAACAACAGTTTTGCACAGATGCAGAAATTTTATTGTGCTATAGAAACAGTGAAGTCAAAGTTAAAAAAATGTACTTACTTGTTTAGGTTACCAAAACCAGCCTGGAAGTGTTATTTAGGACACTTGCATTTGAATAGCTTAGCTAGGGTTGGACTAAATAATCTCGAGAGGTGCCTTCCAACCTCAGCCATTTTGTGATTCTCTGATCCTGTGAGCTGGAAGCATTTGATTAAATTTTCAGGTTTTAATACAGTCCAGCATCTGTCAGTGTAACCAGTACACCACTGCATTTTTAAAGAAAACTATATAGACTTTTTGAGATTTTATGACAAAAAGGTAATTACAAAATGAATTGCATCTTAAATGTTTCTGCCTTATAATGAGCTTGAACTATAGGTTTAGATTAATGCCAAAAGCTGCACTGAAGAACAACTGAAATTACATTCTGCATCTTCAGAAAAAAATAAGACTATTATCTGGAATATAATCATCTTTGCACCTTCAGAGAGGGATAAATGTTATGAGGATGCTGCAGAACCCATGCAAAGATATTGCCAAATACATTGTCTGGACTAATAATAGTAGGAGAAAAAGAAGTTCCCTAAGAAGTTGTTGTAAAGACATGTGGTTTAGATATCAACAGTGAACAATTCAAGAATCAGTTAGATGCTATCTCAGGTGGTATTAAATGCCAAGAATGAAGAAGTTTTCTTAGATCAAAGAGCATCTACTTTTACATTTTGTTGTAGCACTTAAGCTTTGTCAAAACATCTAGATAAATCTGAGGAAATCGGTGCATGTATTAGATTCCAGTTAGAGAAAATTTGAGATTATTTAACTTAATGTATTTTAAAATGAAGTGGGCTAAGTCTGTGTACCAGTGAAAAATTAGTTGGAGTGAGACTAGGAAATAAGGAGCAAGGAGTTGAATTTCAGAGGAAAGGATGTGTTTGTGAGAGAGGACACCTTGCAGGAAGGGAGTTAAGGAATTGAGTCTATAATTCCTAGAAACTGCCAAATGACTTAACTGGATAAACCCCCTTACTGGCTTTAGTACATGCACTTAATTACCATGCTTATTTTGATGATGGGACTCAACTGTCCACATTTCAAAGATACTGCTGAAAGTTTTACTTTGTATTGTAAAGACCTAATTGAAGCTAAATATGTTGACTTTAATGTAGTGCCTTCTGTGTTCAAAACACTGTACGAGCTTAGCTATATGACTTGAACATATGTTTCCATACTCAGATCAGTATGTAATTTCAGATATTTACTATATTTACTATTTTCCAGAAGAGCCTTACTAAAGGCTTGACTCTGGAAAAGGCTGGCCCATGTAGTCTCAAATCAGCAATTCACTTAGGCATGATCCATCTATAAAACTCTAGGGAAACCCATTGATTTCGGTGAAGTTGGCCCACATGTAACTTGACACAGTGTTCTAAGGTTTGTGGATGTTCAAAGGCTTATACCATGTTAAAGTATGGACATTGATTATTATCAATGCTGCATAGTTATTGCTTGTGAACTAATCCACTTGTAGTTTCAAAATTAACTTTTGAGCTGTGCTGTGTTGTAAAATAGTTGTGGTTTGGTGTTTTTTTTTTTTAAGATGTTGTCGGGTTTTTCACAACACAGCTGCTTGCTCATTCTCCCCACTCCAGGGGATGGGGGAGACGATTAAAGGGGTAAAGGGAAAAGAGACTCATGCATTCAGATAAGAACAATGTAGTAACTAAACTACAATAATATTGAAAATAATAATTATTATAACAATAGTAATATGTACAAATATACAAATAAGTGATACTGCTCACCACTGATGACCAAGGCTCAGCCCGTTCCCAGCTAATGAACTCAGAGCAGGGAGAATCCCAAAGCCGCAATCCTGGAACAGAGATGAGAGCCAGAAAAGACCCTCATCTGTATACTGGGCATGACGTGCATGATATTGAATTGGCCGATTTGGGTCTCAGTCCTAAACCTAAGGTCAAATCCTAGGCTAGGAATTGGGGCTGTGCTCCCTCCCAGCTTCTGCTGCACCTACAGACACAGGCACAGCAGAGAAGCTGAAGAGTCCTTGACTGTCCTGGCAGCAACTGTAACCATCAGTATGTGATCAGCCTTCTCAGCACAAATCCAGAACAGAGCCTCTTACTAGCTACTGTGAAGAAAGTTAACTCTGTCCTAGCTGAAACCACGACAGATGTGTAGTAGGGATTCTACTACAGCAAGTACTGCAGTACTTGCAATTTCTGCATGATTTTTGAAACATGACTATACTTTTAACCCAGCAGCAATTTTTTTGTCATAAATGTTATGACATCAATAGGTTTGATGCTTTTTTCCAGCCGTTATCCTTTTGTTACATTTAATGTTGGGGGTAAACTTAATGGGCTTTTTCTTGGGGAAGAATTAAACATGTAATTTGACTGTCGTTCTAGTGAATAGTGGTAACAACTCTGTAATTTCTGATCTTCTTTAGTGAATATGGTGATTATCAAAGTTCTTAAGGTATCTTCTGGAGTGACATTGATTCACTGACGAGACAGGGAAGTTATGACAGTGCTTTTATAACAACTTAAGTATCAGAATTTTTTTTCCTGCTTTTTAGGAAACCTATCTCTTCTGTAGAGTTCTGTATTGATAATGAATTAATAGAAGTTATTCAAAGTTCAAATCCCTCCTCTCAGAATGACATAGAAAGACCATTTTTACTTAAGAATATTTTCAAGGAAGAATCCACTGAAGACGAATATTTGAAGACTGACTATGCCTCTGAGTTTAAAGAACAGTGGCAAGGTAAGGTGTTTAATTCAGTGTCTTCTAACTTTTTATGGAGTCAGGTTGTAAACCTCCATAATTTTTTGTGCATGATCAATAGACATTGAAGAGATCGTTTGGGTGATCACAGCTTTTGCAATTAAAGATGTTTATAACCGTTTAAGAGAGATTTATTCACTGGAGAAGCAGGGGTTATCTTAACAGTTCAAGACAGATGCAAACCAAAAGAAGTTGCAGGCTGATCAGAGATCAGCAGAAATGATCAGGCTGATCAGAGGTCGGCATATGGCAGAGGGTGACAAAAAGTGTCACAATAAGTAGATCTTATCAGGCATTGATCAAAATGCAAATGATCCTTCGTACCTCAACAAAATTAGATCCTTGTGGCATGTTCTTTTACTTTGTCAAGGAGGGAAAGCAGCAGCAATTTCTGCTTTGTTGCTGGGATGAAGATAGTTCAAATTAGGTAATATTCACATGTATTTTCTGAAATTTTGTGATTAGTAGCGCCCTAGTAGATAGAATGAATTCTGATCGCAGAAAGCAAAATGTTGAGAAAGTGTGTGATTCAACTAATTATATTACGATTTATTATATCAGGTTGTTTTTCTCAATACAGTTTTTTTGTCTATCATGCTATTTTAGAAAAGGAAAGTAATCTAATCGTCTACTAAGAACTTTTTTTCCACAGTCTCCTAGAGGAGGCAGGTGGTTCTTGATGCAATATTGTACAAGATAATGTTTACTAGGAACATAGTATCAGCAATCCAAGCATATTACAGTTAATAATAGAAAGACAGTAATCTTAAATAATCTGATTAATTACCTGGAGTTTTTTTCAAGGTTAGGTGGCATATGGCAGAAGGTTTCAATAATTAGTAAAGCTCTCTATATTGTGTGCTTACAAAGAGAATAAAAATAATTAGGATGCTTTGCTGTGTCTTAGCTGTTACTTTCTTAGGAACATTCAAGACAGCTAAATTTCCATGGACTCTGAACGAAAAATAAAAAGTATAAATTTCATAAAACATTTTCTATTTTTTGAAGTTACAGATTATTATTGTGGTTAAACAGACATAAACAAGCAAGCTAAAGAGACTGGATTTTTTTTTAATGGGAGAACATTAAATTAGTCACTATTTTGTTGAGTGGCTTACTGAATTAGCAGATTAATAATTATCTTTCAATGTAATGATGTGGTACTGCCAAACCTTTTTCTAACTTTCTGGTTACGTTAAAGAAGGAAATGTTACCAAAAGCCTGTTGGCTTTTGAGGGAAGTACTAATTCTAACATTTCTAAAAGCTGCCATTCTTAAAGGTTTGCAAGCTATTTTGTGTCATTGAGAACCTGTTAATTAATGCCAGCTAGTCTGGGAACAGCACAAAGCTGGCTAGGTTTCACTAAAGGCATGAAGACACATAAAGAGAGTGCAAAAACATGGAAATTTACTGATATTATTAGAAGGAGAATATTATGGGTGATATGACATAATTATCTAACCTGTACTGAAAAAAAATAAGAACGAACATGATATAGGATTTGAAATGATCATTTAAAATATTTTTTTCCAGTAGAGGAAGGTTATACATGAATTCTAAATAGCTTGGTTTATTCCTGCAGAAGTTTTTTTTCTACCAGTTCTTGCATATTGAAATGTTTCGTGGTTATTTCTGTTAATGTAACCTTGTTCTTCCTTTCAGAGAACAAAATAAATTTCTTCAGTTTTTTCACTTTTTGAGGTGTAATATAAGAAATAATGCATATAATACTTAACTAAGAGCTATAGTCTTTACAGGTTCTTGTTTAAAGCAAAAACGTTTCCAATAAGATTGTGCAGTTTCGTGTAATAGGTTATGTACACATTTGAAATGTAGCTAGTAAATGGTTACTGGACTGTAGCAGTGGAAAATTATAAGAAAGTTAAAACCTGTGAAATATGAAGCACATTGAATGGAAAAGCCAAAAACTTTATTTGGTTCGGTCAGTAACTGTAGAGTTCTAGGCTTCTTTCTGATTACATTAGATTTATATTAGGTTAAAAACAAGTTTTCAATATTTAGCATGCTGCTAATAGCCTTTCTGTCTTGCATAGGCTGTCTTTTATGAGGAAGAGGTCACAGTGGAATAACAACCATCTTTGTAATGTTAAGCTGAAGAGCACTAACTTTACACTAGCATATGGTAGTACTGACAGTGAAATGCCCATCTCAGACATGAACTGAATACTGCTCCCTGATTGATAAGTACTTAAGCACATTCTTAAGCCTATTAAGGGTCTTTTTTTTAAGTGCTTTGATTATTAGAAATTTCTGAATCAAAGAAGGTGACGATACTGCATTCAAGTTAAAACTTGGAACTGCACTTCCCAAAATCATGAAGTGGCAATTCAGTTCAGTTTTGTATGAATTTCAAACACTGGCATTTGTGAATTTCAAACTCTACCTATTGCTCCAGTTGTAAAATTCTATATTAGGAAAGCAGTTACATATGTGATTGCATCTGTTCCAGTGAGTGCATTCTTGCATAGGCATTCTTGTAATAAAAAAGATACAATACACATTAATACAAAATAATTAAAACTGTAGCTAAATTGCGATAATAAATGCAAATCACGGGAAAAGTTATGCCTCAGCTATCCAGATTTAGGGGTAGGATATTAGGAGTTATCCTGCTTTATTTGAATTAACAAAACTTAAATGAGATATTATATGAGGACAGCATGATCAGGTTTATGTCATTGAAGCAGTCTTTAATTTCTCATTGATTTTGGCACCTAATTTACAACCACTGTTTGGCTGAATATTGAGGTGCTTCCTACTCTTTTTTTCCTCATTGCCTAAAGAAAAGGAAGACTAGGTCAGGGATTTTGTAAATTGTATCAGAAAATATGTCAATTTTTTTATTGGAGGTACTCTAAGATTTATAGGCTACTAGAAGCATTAGTAGCCTCTCCTGAGCTGTTCATCTCATTAAACAGAGGCATTTTATAACAAGGCATTTAGGTTTTAATTGATGGATTTCTTTGTGGGATCTGTTTGGGTTAGCAGCATCAAACAGTTTGAGGGGAACATAGTCAGTATCTATAATTTCTACCCACTAAGAAGAAAAGGAGGGTTATTACACATGGGGAGTCATCCAGGGAATGAAACGAGGTGTGGGAGTGAGGAGGCTTCCATGTTGGTAAAAAATAAGGAAGAAGAACAAAGAACTCTCTTTTTCCTTGTATATTATTGTACATTCAACATTATACATTATTATTATTATTTCTTATATACATATAGTATGTGTGTGTGTGTATGTGTGTGTAAATTATATTGAAAATATAAAGTATTATATCAAATAGATTTTTGATTGCTGGATCAGTTCTGTCTCATGGAGAAGAGTAGTCTAAATTCAAAAGAAATGATCGTCCATAATGTCATCTTTCTTGAAATCATAACAATCTGTAACCTATATTTTTGTCAGCTCATTTTGTAAATTTTTTTTTTTTTTGCTTCAGAATTAGAAAATCCTCATTTAGGTTTAGATGTGTATGGAAAGACTGCCTCATTTCTACATTGAATATTGCACTGAACTAAGTTTCTCAGCCAAAACCTACCTCAAAAGTTCTTTTATCATACTTCACAATGCAAACAGGGCAATGAAAAGAAAGTGCCTTTTTTTTCAATCAGGTGTTAATGTAAGACAAAAGAAAAAGCAAAAGAGAACCAGAGCTTATCATGTGAACCATTGGCAGTCTAGAGTTTGTTACATTTAAAACTTAAAAATCATAAAATATTTAAAGTAAAAAGTAGTTACTGTTTTGTTGACATTTATAGCATTCCAACAGTCAGTCAACAATTCTCTTTATTCTGATAATTCTTATTATGTTTGTGTTGTTTGTTAATTTTTTTTTCTTCTTTTTCTTCAGATTTATCTCTGGAAGAGGAACTTGTTTTTATTGATAATCTTGAAAATTTTTGTAAAAAGCTGCCTACTTCATCTGTATTTCTGAGCAGACTACAGTTCTTTTTCGTGAAAGATCCCCTTTTAGATTCTGAAGGGCAGAATTTAACAGAAGAGAACATTTTCAGGTATCTACAAGTTGTTGTATAAAGGTAAACGTAAATAATAGTCTGTGTGTAATGCTACTAACCTTTTAAGTCTTCTAGTTTACATTAACTTTTTAACTGATTTATATTGGCAATAGATAAGACTTCAGCTTTTCTTTTTACTTATGAAAAAATTAGTAGGGTGAAATTTATATGCATTATTTAAGAAAACTGGATAAATGAAATTACGTAATTTTTACAGTCTGTAAGTGTGAAATGTGTTCAGGATTTTAGTTTTGGAATACTGAAAAAATGTCCACCTTTAAGGGAACTGGTCCTTCCTCAGACTGACTGATTTCCTGTCAGTAAAATTACACTAAATTTAGTTGGTCCAGAATTTTACACATGGTTCCATGTTCCTTTTTTCTCTCCTTTCAGTCATGTTGTCAATAAATCCATGCTCTCACCCTGCTGAATTGTATTTCTTTAAGTTCAAATATTAATTATTCTTATGTTTTTGCTCGCTTTCATATTGCTAGATTGACTAAATTTGCTTGAATGTTGTCTTATGTCAGAAATTTGAACAACTGTTACATTAAACCAGGTATAAATTATATTCACGATGTGCCTAGGATTTTTAAAATATGTTAATCTGTATACATACATTTGTGAAGTTTGTCTAGATTTTGCACTGATTTACTCTATGTCTGGATGGCTTGTATAGATTCCTTTGCACTTGATAGGGTTACATGATTCACAAGCAAGGCAAAGTAGATTTTAACTGATTTAACTGTACCTATATAGTGACAGAACAGGAAGGAGTGGTGTCGTTCGCATGTTTTTTCAAACATGAGCCCTGATCTTGCAGTGAGTCTTGGACATAAGACTGTGTGCATGTATGTGTGAGTACTGTAAGTATCCACAGAAGAGAACATGATACAAATTCTGCAATGACTTTCCGAAATACTAGTCACAGAAGAAAAAAATGGTAATGTAAAGCTTTACAGAAATGTCTCTGACCTGCTGATTCACAGGTTACTAGCAAAACAACTAGCCTTCTCATGGTGGGAGTCCAGATCTCCCAGTGGAGCACACAGGGAGATGTGTTTAGACAGAGATACGGTTAGACAGACTTCTACTTCAGATAAAATTCAGTGAGCATCCCAAGGCTAGGCATGGAATAATTTATTCTCTTCAGCCTAAAGTATTCCTCCAGGAAAACAGTGGTGTCAGAGACTGATGAGAAAACTGTCCCTCTAAAAAGTCACTGTAGATTTAGTGCCTGTAATGGCCATGAAGGCAAGCCCAATGAAAGGTTTTATTTCAACTTGAAAAATCTTTGTCTCTATTCTACTTGTATCCTTGCTTTACAAGGCAAGTAGTAGCCACACTCCTGAGTTTCACTTCTTGGCATTTTAAAAGTTTCCAGGGAACATGCTTTTAGTTTTCATTTTAATTAATAGTGAGCACACTCTGCTTTCTTTGGTGCTGAGTGATTTCTGAAAATAGAAATGAAAGGTGACAAAAGATAAATAATGTCAACATTATAGAGCACAGAAATTTTGTATATAACAGAAAAACTTGACATTGGAAGAAAATGGGGTCTGCAGCTTTTACAGCAAGCATTTTTACGTGATGGGACTTAGGTGTTGAGATGATGAACAATTTTAATATGGGGTTTTTTTTTCTGTAACTTTTTTAAGGCAGGTCCCAATATTAAGTTAGTCTACTCATCATATAATGTATTATTTCTTGAAAAATTATTTCAGTTAGTTGCACAGTTCGGTAGAGCATCTCTTGGAATTGCTTTCTTAGAAAAGCATGGATTTAGAAAAAAAAAACAAAAACTTCTGCTACCTATATAGCTATCAGATCTACTACTAAGACTTCCAGTCTTAGATATGAAGTAATACAAAGAAGTCATTTGCTTTGTTTTATGATCTTTTAAAGGGAATGTTTGACTTTCCAAAATAAAATGGAGACCGAAGAGAATAAAAAAGAATTGCAGGGAGTTCAAGAGAATTTTTTTACCATATCTGTAAAAGATGAAGAGGTATCATCATGTTGTTTCTTACAAAATATTATGTTAGTGATTGCTTTGTGTTATGCATAAGTATTTGTCCATCTGCAAGTCATTTTACTGAATTCTTTTCATGCTTGCCAGCTATTTGTAGCCTTTATATTTCCAAGATTAGAAAACACTATTATTTGTGGTTTTTTGATTCCTGGATGCTGTTGGGAATCTTCACTCTGATCAGCTGTTTCTCCTGGGACCTGATGTGTTGGCAGTTTTATGTAGGTACTGTTACAGTTAGAATAAAAATGAACAGAACAGGAAGCTGTGACATGTGCATGGGAAAGGGAAAGCTCCAAAACATGTTCTGGGATTTGGGGGGCAAGCTTAGCTTCTTTTTTTTAAAAAAAGTAGAATTGATTTTTTGCTCCATTTTTCAAAATTCTAAAAACCCAAACTTTCAATGAAAAAATGAGGATTTTACAAAATTGGGAACTGTAAGTTCAGATCCACTCTTTATACTCCACTGAATCAATTTCAAGTACTGCAACACATTTTTTTTATATATTGAACAAAACTGTGTATGCTGTGTAAATGTAATATGACTTCTATCTTAAAAGCTCTTAGATTGATTTAGAATTAAGCTATTTCAAGATTTTGAAAAAGCTTAGACTGTACAGTAACTTGAACAGAAATGTACTTAACATTCTGTTGTGGTTAATGTTTTTCAGTATTTCATGTTGCCTGTTGTGTTAGAACTCTGCAAACCTAAGAATGACAGATCAGATTCTGTTAAGATTCCATCATACTTGGAACTGAAAGAGTTGTTAAATTTAGTGCCAGAAACTATGACTGATGAAGATGTGTGCAAAGAGGTGATCAAAGAAGGTGAGGGTTGGGTTTTTTGAATGCTTGAACTAATTTTCCTTTCATTTGCACACATTTAACACAATCTAGCTCTCTTATATTCAGCTCACTTTTAGATCACAGCCTATCAAATGAGAGTTTTTCTGTATGATACTACAAACTGTGCTTATACCCAAATTTCTGAGTATTAGAAATGTATCTTCAAGTAACCAAGGGGAAGTGAACTATTTGCTATTTGGTTCAATCCATGGCTGTGTTGTAATCTTGGCAACAAATGTAACATGAGCTGTGACTCATTGTATCCAGTCTACCATTAATATAATAATGTAATGTTATATTTTCTTACCTGTAATTAATTTACTTTCAGATACATCCTTAAGAGGATTATATGCAGCACAGTCATACTGTATAAATTGCTTATGTTACATTGTAATTGCAAACATGAAAGCAGATTTCTGGGAAAAAAGGGGTTAGATATTTCCATGCATATCAGGAATATTCTAAATGACACTAGTAATTTCTTTAAAGGAATTTTAGAAGTTACAAAATGCTTTTATACTACAGATAAGTTCAACTTTAATTACAATTATTGTCTATTGGATTGAGATCTGTGACTGTACTTTGAATAGTCAAAACAAAAAGACAGTGCCCGAGATTTTGTTTGTTTGTTTGTTTAAAAAAAAAGAAAGAAGTTTGCATTGGTTTTGCAAAACAAGTGAGGAAAACCATTTCTTTGGTGGAGAAGAAGCAGCTCAAAGAAGCAAGATTCAAGCTTTCTGAGCATGGAGGGTGCGTGCTGAATTCTGTTTCTGACAGAGCAGCAGTTTGAAGTAGTCCAATCTCTTATTCAAGATAGGAACAAAACTTTTTAAAGTGTATATTTGACTAAGGTAGTTTCATGTGCATTCCTCTGATACATTTAGTAGATCTCAACCTACATGCCATGTTCCAAGCTGAACGATCTAACCTCCACTGCAGAGGTTTGATGATTTTGTAGATAGATGTTCATCTATTATTCTTTTTTGTTTTGTTTTAGGCCTTTTTAGTAGCAAGAAAACTACTGGTAAACTACATTTATGCTGCCTGTGTGTTCCAGAAATCACATCACTGTACTTTGAATAGTTCAGATAGTGACTATACTATATTGTATATTTTTTCTGGCACATTTAAGGGACAAGATTGAGCACTGCTCTGATGAGCTATGGCATTGGGGGTTACTAAGAATAACCAAATTTTTGTAACAATATATTATGGAGATTCAATAAAAAGACTAAAAAAAATGCTCTGACAGGAAAAAGGAATAAATGGTTCATTTATGGCACCTTTTAAAAAATCTGTTTTCAGACCTGAAAGTGGAAATTACATACAAAATAGAAATTTCCAATTACTGTCCCATACCACAAGAGGTTTGCTCCAGTAACAGCAGAAGTACATTGGAATACTGCGATTCAGGTAGGAAAATCTACATAAACCAAGGGGTGATATTTAAAATAAATTCTTCGACTGATCATCCCCATATTCTGTTCCTGGGAGTACATGTACCATATGGATACAAGATAGGATGTTTGTTTTGTGTAATCTACTATTTTATACCTGCACCATAAGCAGGTAGAAGTGCCATACTCCTTTCAAGAGTTTTAAAAGCTAAACACAAACAACTTTACAGTCCTTTAATGTTGCTTTTGGCTGTAAGTGGTGCTTTTTGTGCTTGATTAGCTTTTCAGATTTTATTTTTTTAATCTAACAATTTATCTACCCAGAAAGGGCCCAGGAAAGTTAAAGGCAAATTGATTAAAATTGTGGAGTCAAAGACCACGGTTTAAAATTGGTTTAAGTCTTACATAAATGCTTTCAAAAGAGGGTGATGGAGGACAATTCAGAGAGAAGTACTGAGTTTATAAACTTCTAGGGGTTTGAAACTCCTGTGCAGACATTTTGGTTTGAAAGTGGTTCAATAATGCTGTGTGATCGAGAAATGGTCAGGTAGTCACCAGAGCTGTTTTATGCATAAATAAAGTGTTGAATATTTGCTAATGTGTGCATTGAATACTAATTTCTTTTACACTGGTATCAGGAAGTCTATATCTGCCCGCCTTTAGTAGCTTGAAATCTCAGTCAGGCATGCTGGTTACAATGCGTACCAGTGCCAGACAGGTTTGGTGTCTGACTATTCAGACTAACTCTCCAGCCTCTGTTAAAATTTCTGCAGGTTCCAGGGGTAATCTTTCAAATTAACGGATATTCTTGCCAGCCCTACTGTTTTCACAGCTTAATATTGGCTGGGTAAGAGGCAGGAAAATGTCTGTGCTGGTGACATTTTTCACCTTTAATTTCATGCAGAAAAGGCTGCTCAAAGAGTGACATTTACAAATGGATGTCATCTGGGCAGAGTGGCAATCCTTGAACAAACATGTACCTCTCATTCTAATGTATATCCTGTCTTGGAAAAAATCTATCCATTATTGCATTGCACAGTAGCAGTATTATTCTCCAGTGTGTGCTTGCTTGATAGTTTTCCATCTAGCAGTTACTAAAATACTTGAAATTATGAGTTTTCTCCAGACCAAGACCTCTCTTCTTGTCTTAGTTTCATTATGTTTAAACTGGACTGATGGTTGTCCCCTTCAGGCTAATAGCATCACACTCCTGATACTGTGTTGTAGTTGGCTCTTGGTGGGAGAAATTATAGCAGCTCAAAGTTTGTTACAAATAAATTTACAGGTTACAAGGAATTTGTTACAAGTGTTTTTCCTTATGAAGACACTTACTTAAAATTTTTCTGGCTGTTATTTTTCACAGAGCATGGAGGAACTGTGCTTTTTGTGACCTCTACTTTTCTGGTCAAGTTTAACAAGAAATATTATTAGAAGAATATAAGAGAGATTAATACCAGGGCAATCGTGTAAACCATCAGTTTTTATGGAATGACAACAAAATCAATTACGTTGAAAATTCCTTGTTAGATTTTAATAAAAAACAATAATACATTAAAATGTCCACTTGTAATGTGATTGGCAAAAAAAAGGATGTGAAAAGTGACTTGCAGGGGACTTTTAACACGCCCGGTTTGTTTGGGTACTGCTTTAAAAGAACTGGTGTTGTTATTCGTTTCATTGGGCATCCCTGGAATTTACAGTCAGTGCTAACTCTGCTTGAAAGAGTAATTTTGCCTTTAATATCCTGATTGACTGTTTCTGAAGTTCCTGAGTCCATTCATCTGAATGTTACGGCCACCACAATATTGGCTGAAGTCTCTCTCCCATCCAATTAACTTCATTTATGTGGGAACTGTCTAAGAAGGCCAACAGGGATGGACACTTAATATTAAAACCTTAGCCATGGTACCTGGTGATGTAATCATAAAAATCGTCTTCCATGGGAAGAGTATGTAGCCAGAACTACATTACAGAATGAGTAAAGGAATGTGATCTACACATTATTATCCCCAAACTGTCTGGAAATTAAAGGTGAAGTATTTGGGGTTTATTGCTTAAATAGTGAATTGTCCAATGAAAATATTTTGTATTTTAATTCAAAACTTCACTAGTGTAGAATTCACAAGTATGTGTGTTTTGTTCATAAATTGCTTTGTGATTTGGATTTTTTTGTTTTGTTTTGGGTGGGGCTTTATGCAATTTCTAGCTAAATATGTTCCATATCTGAAAGACAAAATGGAAGTACCTCTAACTCCTCCGTGCAGACAGCTAAGATCATTGGTTACTTTTCTGTGCACAGGACTTCAAGAAGAACCTATTCCTCTTTCTGGCAACAGGTAATGAAAATGTAGTAGTAATAAATCCTGTCATAAATCCTCTAAATTGTAAATCCTCAGAATTAGTGCAGAAATAACTTTATTTATTAATTGGAAGCTATGTTCTTTGAGACAGCTGCATATATTTTGTGTTTTGCGCGAAAGAGTGCATGAACCATATCTGTGGCTTTTCAGGGGAGCTTGAAGAAGGAAATGAGAGTTACTACTGTAGACCTCTTTCTCCTGGGGGACTTAATAGCCTGAAAATCCGATCTTCTTTTTTTGGAGAAGGCAACAGTAAATATTTATGTATATAGCAAGTATGTATGCGTGTATATATTTATATGTATGGCAAACACCTATATTGAGCAAGTATCACCTACAAAATCTCCAGAAGAGATACAGGAAGAAAGTATTGTCTGTGTTTTGGAGATATCCCCCAACAATCGAATTTAAGCCTTTTCATGCTGACACAGGATCAGGATTGCTTCATCCTTTCCTTCTCATCTTGTTTGTGAGACTAGCATTTTTTGCCTTGCTATCTTTCTTGCATATGCACGAAGAATTTAAATATCCTTTTCAGGAGGGGACCAAAATCTAGACAGAATTCTTTACTTCGTGAACCAGCCTTGATGGCTTGTCTCACTCCTTCCTGTTCACCATGGTGTTGCAAGAAATGACCTTCTATATGGACAAGAGAACATTTTAATGAATGAGTGAATGAATGAATGAAATTAAAATTTAGAGAGAACATAGAGCTTTAAAAGATAATTTTGTTTAAATCAAAATTCAACAGATAATGCTGTTAAACTTCATACTTCCAAGTCTTGTTTTGTGTTCTTAGTATTTTGGTTACAGAGCCCTCTAGGGAGTACTTAAAATGCTTGATATGGCAATCAGAGAAGTATCAGGATAATATGAATTCTCTTTTGCTTGTCGGTAAGGATTTTTAGTTGATTATGTATTTCTAATTGATGTTGAAGCGTTCCATGTACATGGAGAAAATATATCTGAAAAGATAAGGCTATATTGTAGAGCACATCTTTTGAGCCATTGAAGTTTATCCAATTAATGTAACCCTCTGAAGTCTGGATTATCTGATTCTTTTATTACACATAAAAAGTTACAGTATGGCAACATAGAAGTTGATGATGCATTGTTCTGTGGACGTAATGTGAATGAAGTAGTTTTATTACATTACGAAAATGTTCAGCTCGCTACTACTAATTCAATAACTGTGGTAGTTGAAATTTGGTAATCTGTTGAACCCTTTTCTGTGTGCTATTTTTCCTTAAATAAAGTTTCAAAATATGCCTCAGATAATGAACAAGATAATTTGTAACTTTAGTAATGCAGCTACATGTTATTAGATCTGAAAAAAATTTAAACCCCCTCTTACTTGTACTCTCAATAAGTAAAAAGCAGACTTGCTCTGATAACACTAACTGCTTAGCTATTAAGTCTATTAATGGACACTGAGCTACACATGGGAGTGTAAGCAATGTATATATGTAGTAGGTCATCAGTACTTGGGATTTTTTATTTCCAAAATGACATTCTGTTTTCATGTTTCTAGATTATTAATATTATATGCTGATTTCTGTTTTTTGTAGAGCATCAGACTGTTAAACATTCATATCAGCATCATTCGCTTACAGAACTGAAGGAAATGTTACAAGTTGAGGTAGAAGCACCAACGCTTAGCTCACTGGAGGAGGGCTGGTGGCTTCAATTGGGTTTAAATCCAGTCTCCATAGAAACTTTAGAGCAATTAGTTATGCATCCCAGTAATGCAAATAATTTGCTTCCTACAGAAGTAGAAACATACACACAATTTACATCCTATCAGTTAGAAAGTAAGTATCTTCTTTTTTAAAAAAAGTGATAAAAAAGCAAAGATGGGTACTTTAACAGAGAATCATACAGTGATATTTACATACCTCCAAGAAGGAAGGAAATGGAAGATTTCTTATTTTCAAGAACAAAATGTTTTATAGCAATATGAAGTAGCGACACTACTACAATTGAGGTGTACTTTCAGAGCTTAGAATAAATTGTAGGAACAAAAGTGTTTAACTACACAGAGTTATCTTTTCTGTTAATGTGCAGATGAAAAGTAGCCTCCACCAGCCATATTATTTTTTAATAAAATAGTTTTATTTAGGAGAATTTCTTAACAAACAGGAATTTTGCACTGGAATATTTTAGTAAAGCAGATACTTCTACAGTCCTATCTGCAGAAGGTCAGTGGGGAGAGTACGTTACAGTGAAAATTCTTTATTTTGTGATGCTTTTCAGAGGCATTTTTATGTTGGCTGTGGTTTCAGATGTGAACTGAAACATAAACTTCAGAATTTTTCCTGGCCATTATGCATACAGACAATCAAGCTTTAACATAAAATGTGAAAAGTTCTTTAGATTTTATTATATAACTATGCAAGACACCAGTTATGGTTGTAGAACTCCAAGGATTGGCAGTAACAGTATATATGAAACAAAGGGGCACCACTTCTGAAAGAATGTTTCCACTTCACTGCTTTTTACATATTGTAAAGTGTTGAGCTACTGTGTTTAAGGTGGATGTGCAGCTGCAGTGCAAAAAATTACGGTTCTAGTGAATCACATCTTTAGAGGGAGCTAATTGCAGGCTTTACTTCTTTTGCGTCTCAAAAAAATTCTGTTAAACTTGTTAATCTTTCTTCCTAATGAAATGTCCTGCATCTCACTTCCTAGAAATCTAACACCAGTGAGCACCATGCAGATGGTGAAAACTTCTCCAAACGCTAGCACAGCCTTTGTTTCTCAACATTGTACATTTTTACTTTGGACTAATCAGCACAAATTTTCTAAAAGCAGATTCTAATGATCTGGGAAGGCAGAAAAAAAAAAATTAGAAAATGCTTTCTCTATAACTACCCAAAGTAGTTAACTCCAACCAGGAGAAACAAAAGAAAAAAATCTTTGTTGCAGAAAAAAAAAAAAATATTTCTTTTTTAGGATGGCTTGAAGAGAATAATTCTGTGACAAACCACAAACTGCTTTCTGCTGAAAGACGTCAGTCAGACCAAGTAATTAATCTTTACATGTCACAGCAGACTCAAACGCAGTCTTTTGCCAAGCATATGAGTGCTGCATCATCTGCCAAAATTCAGGGTACAAGTACATCTGTGGAAGAGCTTACTGGAGGAAATATAAAAAAGAATAAGGTAGAAGAGGCAATTTATTTCTTAAAACAAGAAAAGAAAACCCCCAAATCATCTGAATCATTCAGCTGTAGAGATGTGTCTTCTAAACAAGACAACTCATCCAGTAGTCAAAAGCCTACATCATTTGCACTTAATACGAAATGGGACAATGATGATTCTGATCTGAGCAACTTTATCATGCTGAGATCTAAACATATGCTCACCCAAGAAGAGGAGAAAAAGTATGTAGATAGTCCTGAAAAAGGTATGTCAACCAGTTTATTCTGCCATTTTCCCAGGTTTAAATCTTATACCAGTTAGAATAGATGGTAGTTTATGCTAGTAAATTTAAGGGGGAAAAAAGCTTTTGAAGTCAATGGTAACATTGTCATCTTTAATGTAGTTGAATTTTCAGCTAAGGATCTTACCTTTTGGTTTTTCCTTTAGATACCTTAGGGGATTTTTTCTGGGTTTTTTAGGTTAGGGGAGTGCTTTGATTTTGGGTTTGCAGGTTTTTTTGGTGGTGGAAGTGGTTTTGAATCAAAGAAACATGAGTTTATTCCTATCCTGACAAAGTAACTTGAAATGGTACTTACTCCAGAAGATCTCTTCTGTCCGTGTGTTCTGAATAGGGTCTCCTGGCCTCTTTGGAGAAATAGTAATTATCAATTGTAGTTATCAAATAGTAATTACTCTTTCTTTTGTAGAACCAGCATAGCCTAGAGTTTCAGTTCTTCTCTGGAAAGAAGCATTTGAGCCAGTTACTTTGTTGCACACCCCATCAAACAATGAGGCAGAACAGGTCTCCGGGATAACAGAATGTTGTGGTAGCCCTGTTCTTGCCAATCACAATGCTTGTGAAAGAGCCTCAGGCTATGCATTGGGCATTGCAGAAATGCAAAACAGTAGAGGGAAAAGAAATAGAAGAAAATCCTTTTTGTTTTAAAAAATAAATTTGTGACACAAAACACCAGGAGGCAGTGACATATATTCAGATTGACTTTTCAGGATAAAATTGTATTAAAAAAGAATATTTTTCATTTGGGGGCGGGGGGGAGTTGTATGGCAGAATTCTGACAATAACTGTTATCTATGTTTCAGTTATATGTCATAGCATGAAAAAAAAATATTACAAGTGTTACATAATAGCTTTCTGTAATGATTCCTATAAAATCGAACTAGGATATTTATTTAATTGCAAGGTTATATCATCTTGTGGAGGAAGTTATCTCTTAGTAAAATTAATCTGTTATTGACACTGGTAGACATTCATAAAACCGTTCCATGGCCTCAGAAAGCAACAATCCCAATTTTGAAAGGAGATCAAGGTACCTGAACTGGAGTTTTATGCTACCATCTAGTGAACTCTGACTAGAACTACATCTCCTAGTAAGATATCCAAATGTATGGAAAGACAAGCTATGTTACATTTACTAATAGGCTTGAAGAAGTTTAAATAAGTACAGTTTAGAATATGTTTACAGGTAGTGTCCAGTGTTGCAGATCAGTTATTTCTGATATACAGAGAACCCTTTAAAATGCATAGGTCTTACCACAGTGATGTAGAGATTATGTAAATTATCATATACTTTAGTAATAATGAAAAGTTTTTATTAAGGGTAATCCTAAATTTATCTGAAAATAAGAAATGCCAGCACTGCTTTTAGGGTTCTTTCTCTATTGTCTTTGTTCTTATCTGTTTTTTAAAGATGTCCTTGTGTATAATATTTAGTTCAGAAAATACACAGGAGGGAGGCAGTAGAAACACTTAGTGATCCACTTTTGAACGCTGTATAGCTTTTCAAAGTCAGGAAGGCTTTTTTAACTTAACTAGAAAAAAACCAGGTTTTTTCTTTCTGTCTCTGCATGATCAGTTTGTTTTCTGAGGAAACTGATGTTCTCAACTAGAAAAAATCAGCAATATTTAGGAGATACCTATTAAGCCAGATCCCCTCTCAGAAATAGAGGTAGAACTACCAAAGGAAACTTTGTGGGCAGAAGCTGTAGCTCATGCATCAGTATTTGTAAGGAAGAAGGGAAGGAGACTTAGAAATTCTAAGAAGTTGCGAAAGATAGATAGATAGAAGACATGAGAAAAAGTTATTTTCAGTAGGCAATTTTTCTTTTTTTTTTTGTTCCCCTCTCATTTGCAGCGTCCATGTTCTTTCTGGGTCATTTACGGTATCTAACCTTTTCTACTCACACTCACTGAGATATTTTTCGTAGTTTGAGCTCCTTTATAGTCAGCAGCATCTTTCCTCTCATACGTGTTTTTTCTCCACATAAAGGCATATGAGCTTTCCTATGGAGCTATGTTATAGAGCTATAGTAGCAGCTCCTTAATTTTCCCAGGTCGATACTTCTGCGCTAAGGAAAACAAACCTGATAATGCCTGAGTTCCTGGGCTGAGAAGGCTGACAGGGCCTCATCTCTCTCTCTGTCTTGATGATTTTTACATACCATATGAGTCCATGAAAACAATAAAGAAGTTCATTAAAAGAAAATATATATGCCATAGAAATTACTCTAATGTGAAAGTATTTTCGCATATAGAGTCATTTATAGAATGGTTTTCTTATTAATTGAGCTGTTTTTCTGCTATTTGTATCTAAATGTTCACTTGTGGTTTAATGATTTAGTGCTACAACCTGAAGAACAGAGTATGCATGTTCACAAAGAGGACAGTCCTGTTTGTGAGACTGTAAGAATAGAGGAAAATAAACAAGAGAATGAGGACAGTGTTACAGTCAATATTCAAGCATCAGGTATACTATTTTGGATGCGCTTTACTTTATATAGCCTTGCAATTGTTTTGGTTTAGTTTGCTCAGCTAGCAGCAAATACCACAGAGCCGCTTGCTCATCCCACCCCGTCCTGGGGATGGGGAAGAGAATGAAAGGGGTAAAGGGAGAAGAAGCTCGTGGGTTGAGATGAGAACAATTTAATAACTGTACAATAATTTTGTAAATAGTAATAATAATTATAGCAGTAGTAATATGTACAAATATACAAATGAGTGATACACAATGATACTAGTCACCACCTGACGACCACGGCTCAGCGTGTTCCTAGCTAACGATCCCAGAGCAGGGAGAGTCCTGAAACCACAATCATGGAACTGAGATAAGAGCCCCAGCGTCCAAGAGACTGAGATGGCCCTGAAAGAGGGGTGACAACCCAGAGCGAGAGAGCTGATGACCTAAAGCAAGAGAGGGCACTCTGGACAGAGCCTCATGTATATACTGGGCATGACGTGCATGATATGGAATATACCATTGGCCAATTTAGGTCTCAGTTCTAGACCGGAGGTCGAATCCTAGGCTTGAAATTGCGGCTGTGCTCCCTCCCAGCTTCTCCTGCACCTTCAGACACAGGCACAGCAGAGAAGCTGAAAAATGCTTGACTGTCCTGGCAGCAACTGTAACCATCAGTATGTTATCAGCCTTCTCCTCAGCACAAATCTAAAATGTAGCCTCACACTAATTACTATGAAGAAAGTTAACTCTGTCCCAGCCGAAACCAGGACAACAATATAATTTTGTATTAAATAGTACTCCTCAGAAAAATATGGAAATTATTAGGCTTAGTCTTTGCTCCTTGTGACTGAAAACATTCCATAATAGACACGGGTGTAAAAGCAGGCTATGGAATCATGTCTTAAGACTAAAGCCAATTGCATGCACACCAAAAAGTACAGATTTTGAGTTATGATCTAAATCAGCAGATATGAAATCTCTTATGCCAATCAGTACCCTCAAATTATTCTGCATTTTTGCCACTGACAGAGTAACTGAGAGAATTGGAGATGGAAGGGATTGGCCGTTATTTTTCATAGAGAATGTCTTTAACACAGTAGTAATCCACTATGGATTTATCTCATACAAAACTAAACCTTACCCTGTGACCTTTTGCTGTACTTTTCAAGGCATTGTACCAAAGAACATGCAGTGACAACAGTTTTGTCATGCAGTAGAAATGTTGAAGAAGAACCTAGAAGATATTTATCCAATTTATTTTACAGCCTCAAATTAAGAACATCCAGTGCTAGAAAGTTGTAGGCCTAGCACAGATTAGTTAGGTTTTCCATGGAAATACATTCACTCTAACCATATGCTTAATGGGATTCTCTTTCACAGAACCAGTGAAAGAGGAGAGCAGTATTTTTATATGTTCTCATCTGAGATGGGAATCACGTAACAGCTATAAGCTTATTTTTTAGGTTTTTAAAATAAATTTTGAAGCAAGACTCCTTTAATGCAACTGGGAAAAAATTAAAGCTCTTCTGCAGTCAAAAGAAAAATTAGCATTTTGTAAAGGTGGTATTTGTTGGGCATGAATGTCCTATTATAGTCCTGGAAATAAAATGTGTTTCACTATGGTGGCCTTGCAGACGAAGGAAAGGCGTCTTTCTCAAAAACAAGCTATAGCCAAAACAGAGATTAGAAAGACTCACACAAGCATTTTACTTAATGATGAAACATTGAAGATGCATGATTAGAAATACACTTTAAAAAGAAAATAATACATTAATGCCTGAATAAAATTATACAATGGGCGTTTAAAATACTATAGTACCTCACCTATTTCCCTAAAGGCTGAAAAACTGGACATAATAAAATATTTTTTTTAGAATGCTTAAAAATATGAAGTTTTTAATTGCTCTTATGAAATAGCGCATTGGCCCAGTGAAGTTTAATCAGCTGCTAGTCAAACAATTTTCATAGATCAGTTGAAAATATATTTGAAAAGTAATAGTAGGTCTTTGAGAATGAAGAATCACAGAGTTCTGATCTTGTTGATGTCATCAACTGAACTATAATTTTAAAAAATGGGTATGGAAGAGTGTGACCTTCTTACCTGAGGAAAAGGAAATCCCTTTCAACGCATTCAGCAATTGACAGCTCTGTCATGGATGCTAATAGTGAGAAACTCATTTGTAATTTGGAAAGAATTGTAGAACAGCCATCCAGAAGCTATTAAGAACTGTAAATATGAAAGCACAGAGACTAGCAGATTGTCTTATTTAGCCTTGCTGGACAAAGACATTAGAAGTCAAATACCAGGGAAAGGAGAAGGGCTGTTTAAGTTGAAGTTATAGTAACAAGTGGATACAAAGGCACTAAGTCTAAGTTTAAACTACAAAGTAGAAGTCTTCTGTAGAACAATGGAATAATAGTACAATCTTTGTGGGAGCCACAGGAGTAAAAAATCCCAACTTTTCATCATGGAGTTTGATCACTTTATGAAATGCATGGAGTAACGTGGTTGCCTGCTGTGAGGATCAGCTTAATTGTACCACCCAGGAGGCTCCCTGGTGAGCAACTGGTTTTGTGTTGATGTTACAGCTTTTGTGAATAAGTCAGTGTTGTTTGTGACTTGCAAGGTCTTTTGAATATTCTTGTCTAGTAGTGGTGTATGAAACAAAACTTTCTTATGTTTTGTTCATTGTTCTATCCAGAAAGCCAATGCCAGGCATACTGTCTCTTAGAAGAAGCAGCCACTCCTGTTCTAAAATATTTGACACATCTGGGTGTACTTGCTTCTGTAAATTGGAGCTTTGACAGCATTAAATTTGATCATACAAGGTTTTTCTTTAAACAGCAAGAAAAAGTGATATGTGATCGTTTTAAAGAAGGTATGTCTTTTTTAATAAAGTCATTGTTTTTTCTTCTTTAATAGTAATACAGGTTTAATTGGTGACACAAGGTTCAAGATGTTTGATAATTAGTGATAAAACTTTCAGCAGCTTATCCTGAAGAGTTATGGTAGTTGATTTCTTCTTTTATTTCCAAAATAATATCTCCTCATTCTTCAGCATTACATTTATTAACCTGAATATCGTAATACAAAAAGTATTCCAATTGAATTTAATTTTAAAATATTTTAGATAGGCTTCAGAAATGTTGCTTCTATATAAAAAATGTTTAAATTTTTAATGCTAAATTTTTAAATTAAAAGCTGTCTATGTGTTGTTTCTTTCATTTTAGTAGCTGTTGTTTGTCACACCTGCATGATGCAAAATGCTAAGCTGCTGTTAGAAATGAGAAGAAGAAGAATTCATATTAATTTGTTTTCTTTCTGACTTCATTTCTCTCCTGTGGCATGTGATAACCCTGTAAAACCAGAAAAATGAAAACAAAAGCCAGCAAATTCAGTGACCCTGTATGAAGATTTTTAGCTATAGATAAAAAGAGGGTCAGAAAAACCTCACAGCAAAATATAGACTGTGTTTTAGGAAGCTTTTGAAAGTTATTGGGTATTTGGGATTATTTTTTGAGTTGTGCTGGTCATAGTTGAGAACTAGTTGTAAGGATAACATAGCAGGTTGTCTGCTACCTGCCAAGTTTTTATATTATGTCACAAATTACATGAAACATTTTAGCTAACTCAAATTCGTTGCTTTCTGTGACAATTGTATTTTTCTCAAAAGAAATATAACAATGAAATCATAAATGAGAGAGAAGGCAAGCAAAAAAATTGTTAGTGATCTCTGCAGAATGACAGCCTGTGATCTATAGGATTACCATATTAAAATTGTCAGCAGCAGGGTTCTCTTAATTTGAGGAAGCTTGCAAAAAAGCAAACACTCTTTTCACAAACATGAGAGAGAAACTCAGTATCCATATCTGCATCAATGAATCACAGAAAGGAAAGCATTGCTGAGATATGTATACAGAGAACTACTACCCCTTCTCAAGATCAAAGAAAAAATATGTAAGAGTCTGTATTTTATTTCAAGATTAAATTAATAAAACCTATATCCTTTCAAATGAAGTTTACGTGCTGTAGAAATGCAGCCTAAAGTAGTAGCTGGGCCAAGTGGCATGCTTTTTTGAACTTGAGGGCCCTCTTTGCTTGTAGATTAGCTATGCAGTATATTATTATTGCTAAAATTACAGCAATGAAATAAATGAAAATGTTGAGTGGCTGAAATACTGAGGCAAGTAGTCATCTGTTGGACCTTCCTTTTAAAGGCGAGTGTTTTCTGAAGAATGGATAATATTTAGCCATCCCTTGTTATACAAAAATAGCTGTTGTTGAACACAAAAGTGACCTATTAAATAGGTGGGTCTTTGGACTGCAGCTCAAGGAAAGCAGTAAAAACTTTTTGCTCTTGGTTTAAAATACCACAAAAAGTCAGTTTGATTTAGCTACTGTTGTCTACGCAAAAGAGATAGAAAAGTGCAAAGGAGGTCTTGTATTTTGTCCCCAACTAAAGAAGCAGAAGGAGACAAGAATTTTCTTGCTGAAAGTTCCATGGAAACATAGAAATGAGGAAGGCTCTAACATATCCAATGCATTCTTAATTAATATTTCTCTAACTGTATTGGAGATTCCAAAACTTCCCTGGTAAGTTACTTCACTCTTTTATTGCCTTCCTGGTTTTAAGTAGTTTCACAATATCCAATCTCATTCCACTTTCCTCCAAAGTATGCTGATGCATTTTCTTATTAATCCTTCAGTGAACATAGAAACCAATCACTTGCTGTGACGGTACTGGTCTAATAGAAGATTGTTATTCCCCTGCTGGTCTTTTCTTTCTGCACCAAATACTACCAAATGCTCCAGTCTTCTGTCATAAAATGTGGTTTCCTACTGTCTTGCTTTGTTTCTAGATGACCTGTATTCTTCCACCACTATTTTATGGTGAGTGGTGTCAGGAACTTGTAGTCCTTCAGTTTCAGCACCTTCACTGACAGAAATGAACAGTCGCTTTTTGTCTTTTGATACAGAATAGTGGCAAGATCTTTGTCTTCCATGCTGTTTTCAGCTAATTCTTCTGTATGCTGTGTTCATAAGTTTGATTTTTCCTTCCTAAGTGTTTTGCTTCTCTTTTTGAATTAAAAGCTATGTTGATCCCATTACACAGAACTCAAAAATATTTTCCTTGTATAACGCATCGTTTTAAGTAATTGCTTTAGCAGCTGTAGTAATTTATTCTTTGATTATCTTCATCAACCATTTTTTAGCATTTTGAAGTATACTTTTTTTAAGTCCACTTACTCTGCAGAAGTCACATATTTCCTTTCTTAACATAATGAACTACACCACTCCCTGTGTGCAATTCCCAAAAATGGCTTATTTCTTCAGGGTCTTTATTCCCTCCTGTTTGGGCAAGCTGCTAAAAAATTATTCAAAATGGGTGCATAATACAGACTAGGTAACCCATACATTGTTTTATGTACTCTGTGGGTCCAAGAAGAAGCAGAAATTTGCCTTCTCAAAGAATGTTAAGATTCTTATCAGGAGAGGTTAATTAGGTGTGGGGAAAGTAATATCAGAAGTTAAAACTCTACATGGGTCATTATTGGAAGGCAATAGGAATTTTTATCATGATACATGTGAAGACTAGCGGGTGACAAATCATTTGCCATAAAGAATGTGGCTTTTGTAGTCTAAAATTTGTTGAAAAGTTCTCTGAAAAGCTAACTTTGAGGTTATCACTACTTTAAAATTGTTTATTGATTAGTGGATAATCTGCCATTTTGATTTCTTGAAAAGAGTTCTGAAATGTTTGGAAAATGGGTTAGATGGAGTTACAGTGCTTTTGAAAAATTTAGTGATTTGACTAGTTGGATGAGGAAATAGTAATGAGAACAGCTGGGCTTGTGCGATGGACCATAAGAGGGGGAATTTATCAGTTTCTGTGTATATTTAACAACTGCCTTACTAAAATCAGTAAGGCAGTGTGGATTTAATGGCACACCTAGGGAAACTGCTCCGTCCTCCTCCAGCAAGCACCATCTATCCCTACACACCTTTCAAAAACACTTTCCTGTGTGCCACTTGCTCTGGGCCAGATGACATGGGAGAAGTTGTGCGGTATCATAAGCTATTTGCCAAGATCAACAGATCCGACCCTTTCAAGATTATGTTTGTTTAAGTGTGTTTTATGACAATTCAGAGATATCAGGATCTTTTAAACTGATTACGTATGTATAGCGTGATTTCTGAAATTTTATACAGACCACATCTGTGTCTTTTGTTTGTAAAGGTAAAATAGATGAGAAGGAGATCATGCTGTTCAGACATGCTGCTCTAGTGCACCTGCTGGTGGCAGTTCGAGATCTTCTGTTAACGTGTGGCTTGGACACAGCACTAGGTTTGTTTTTAATAGTGAAAAATGATACTCAGAAACCAACTGTTTTGTGTGTATGCTGCAGTCCATTCTTTGTGTTTGTAGGCTGTGATTCTTTGCCATTGGTATACCTCCAGCATAGCTTCAATATGATATTCAACACCCTTTGCTTCCTTATTTCTGTTCCATCATTAGAAATTAATTCACTGCAGAGTGTACTTTGGTAGTGTATAAACTCAGTTCATGACTAATATACCACTGTTTATGTTAGTACATGGATTTGCCTAAGAAACATTCATATCAACTTCCATATAAATAATGTGTTATCTTGTATCTCAGAATGACAAATTTTCATTGGAATCTGTGTTTAAACTAAGAAACGTGCAAAAAAAATGGTAAATCCTTTGTTGGTTACAATCTACCTTCTGTGAGTGTGGAAAAAATTCCATCTAAAAATATTCTTAGGCTCCTCAGAAATGAGGTACGTAGAACTGAGGGCATTTTAAGAAAAAGCTGAGATATTATCTAAGATATCATGAGGCAGGGAGCTTGAAGTTACAGTCCAGTTCTTAGCACTGGACTCACACAGAAGCTCTTTTTGAGCTTTTCTGGTCTTATGCTGTTCAGATTTGGAATATTAAAATTTGTTGTAGCACAATTTTATGCCTGAAATTATAATTTCATGCTTGTCAAGTTCCCATAGTTGTGTATTGTGGATTTTCACATAGATCTGTTGGGATAGATTCATAAGGAGCTGCAGTTAGCTTTCATGAATGCTCTCGGAAAATCAGGCTCCCTCTGTCTTTATAGGAGATAAGCTGGTTCAGAGTATCTTAACTTCAGTCACTCTGAATTATCCCTTGATGCAGGGTTTTTCCTTAAAATTGATGTAAAATGGAAAACAACTGCCATAAACAGGACTGTGGAGAAAAGTAGTATTTTTTATTCACTTAAATATTTCTAGCAATAAAAGAGTAGGAAGAAAAATACAGATTTAATATGTAAGTAGAATCCTAAGTAGAGTTCTTTTCTACAATTAATATAAGCAACATAGAAGGATGAGAGTGAGACAAATGAGCAGCTCTTCCTCCTCTGTTCTGTTGTAGCAAAAGCACTCCTAGATGATATTTCAGAATTACACAGCACCTGTCTTTCCAGATCCCAGCAACACCTTACGCAGGAAACTGTGAAAAACGATCTGGAAAAAAATCGGAAAATCCAGCCAGATACTAAGTAGGCTCTGTAGTCCTCACTGTTGTGATGTTGTGCTGTGCTGTGTCATTCATCACATAGTTAACCTTGGATGTATTTTTTCTTTATGCCTTTTCAAAGAACACCAGCATTGTTCACCATTTATATACAAAAGGCATCAATCAGAGCTGAGAAGCAGTTGTATTGATATGAGGAGTGGTGAAAACACAAGAACAAGTAAAGCTTTGGACAATGGGAATGTAAAAGAAGTTGTTATGAAGTATAAGCCGTGTAGACTAGTTAAATATAACAGTGCTGCTGCTGGTATCTGCAACTATAGAACGGAATGTTCTGTAATTCTAGCTGTAGTGATATAGCAGATACTACAGAAGGTATAGCAGTTTTTATAAAGGCCACTTACGTCCCTGGTTAGTAGTAACAGTATCCTTCCATATTGGTGAGCTATTAAATTTTCATCTGTTTTGTGCAAGATACCTTCACATAAATTTTAAATGTATGTTTTAGATTAAACACAAACCCTGGAAATTATCTTTTGTCACTGCAATTACTTCTCCTGTTGTCTTATTAACAGGTTATTTGTCCAAGGCGAAGGATATCTATAAAAACATCTTAGAATCCTGTTTGAATAATATCTGGAGACAGTTGAAGATTGTACAGTACAGCAGACAGAAAAAGCATGAAACAAATCCCAAAATAGCAGAGCTTCAGTCTCAAATGTTAAATTGGATACGAAGTTACGGAGAGGAACAGAGTGTTAAGGTTAACAATGCAAACAATTTCTCTAAGCAAGCAAGCAAAACTGCTCCAAACTATGTGAATATTTATAAAGCCATCTTTCAGCATGGGTTGGTTTATGGAAGAAAGTCTTATAATTCCCTTTACAACTCACAGTATCTCTTAAATAAGGGTAACAAAAAGTACAAGATCTCTATTAGGAGCAGTGCATGTTTCTGTTTGATCAAATCTCCCTTTGTTAAATGACTGAAATAACATGCATGTGAGTTTTAACATTGCCAGGGCTTTATCTTGTTGCAGGTGGTCTTGTTTCCCTGGTAAGTATATTGCATCATATCACTTACTGAAAATTATATTATAACCTTTTATTTGAAAGCCTGAATCGTCTTGTAGTGTGATAATCATAGCACACGTCAGGATTGTGTACTTGTACAGTGTGACTCAGAGAACACACACCGTGGAGTATATGGGTGTTGTTATCTGTAGACGACCTCTGCTTAACCCATCTATCAGGCCAATCTCCTGGCAATATAATTACATAAGAAGCAAATACCCATAAGGGATAGTTATGGCATGGAGGATAGAGTTGTGGAGGAGATTCAACTTATCGAATTTTTTTTTTTTCTGGATATGTGAGTATTTTGTGTGATACCATGCAGTACAAAATACCATCTTCCTTTGCAGATTATTTATTATTTGTTTACAGAATACTTATCACATAATGAAACAGAAGGGATAAAATGTATAATTTTTCAGGTATCCTAACTGTTTGGAAGAGAATTTATGCTGCTGAACTCATAGCCAAAAAAAGTTGAATCTTCAAGCTTACTTTCATTTATTTTAAGTTCTTTACGTATTTCACTACCTGGAGCTTTCTTCTTTTGTTTCTATTAAGAGTTAAACTAAGAGCTCTGAACATCTTTTGATTAAATTTTCCTGAGAAGAAAAAGATATAAAATATAAAATATAGAGTAAATATATAACATGTAATATATTATATATAATATAATGTAAATATGATATATATGCAATATAGTGTAAAATATAACTATTCTGCACCCTTTTAGAATTTAAAATGGAAATGAAGCAACCAAAACAAAATGGTGCTGATTGTCTTGGTGTCTGTCCTTCAGTAGTCCCTGTAAGCTCATTTCAGCATCATTTTCTTCTTAAGAGTAAAACATTTTGCGTTGTGGTACTAGGATTAGGCTGTACTAGGAGACATGTGACAACTTTGTCACCTTAATATCAGCTCAGTGACAATTTTGCTTTTCTTCTGAACTCCGCTACATGTGTTTTTTAAAATTTTTAACTATAACTCTCCTGAGTTTTGACTTGCTTGCTTGACTTAAGCTTAAGGTCATACACACATACACAGGCAATGTAGGAATAAATATGATTTTTTTCACAGTTACAAGATTGTTTACTGTTCCCCAACATTCAGAGACAGGTTTCAATGAGACAGAATAGGCAGGAGTATTCCAGTTTTAATAAGAAGTAAAAGTTGTATTGAATAAACCATTTCCTATTCTATCACATCAGCATCGGTTGACATGATGTGAAATACGATAATCTGATTATCCTTTTATTCACCAAAATTCTAGTTAATATAGGATTATAATGGGATGTTTCCTTTGTAAGCAAAAAGTTACTAATGGAATAGAATAAACTGAACTTTACTCTTTGTTTCATTATCTTTTGTACTCATGATTAAACAGAACTTTACTAAAAACGTCATGTAGCTCACAACAACATATAATGAGTATGCTGTTGCATCATGCGTGAAAAAGCAGGTCTGCATTTTAAAATGCAGTTGTCCAAAACTGTTTTGAAAGGAGCCAGTGGATCATCAGGTGGCTATTCTGTGCACCAACATATGGAAACGGAAGCCTGCCTAAAGGTTGTCAGGCTGACTGATATCCAGGTTCTTTTCTGACAAGATCCAATGCACTGTTAATATGTACATATATAATTATCTTGCATCCGTAAGACTTAAGAGTTAGATAATGCCATGTGCCTTCTTAAAAATCTTATCTTGTGTGCACCATGAAAAGTGTCTATACAATGGCATAAAAGTTAAGAGATCATCTTGTCTGAAAGTACGGTGTAAATCTTCTATGTGTGTACATATTCTTCTTTACATGTTTTGATTGTGTAGCACAAATTCAGTTTGTATCAGTTGAAATGGTGGACAAGGTAAACACCTTGTCTGGTAGTGATTCTTTTTAAAACTATGGCAGTTCAGTAGATTCTAACCCTTTTCAACATTTTCTTCTTGAGCAGTATTTAGTGAATCTCAGAGGCAGGCGATCTCTGGCAGGAACACTTCAGTGTACTCCATCTGTGGTCTGGAAAATCTTTCTAATTACTTCAGCCGTACATCTAGTACCTCCCTCCAGTATATCACCGTCTTGCAGGCTGAATTCTAGCTATCTTCAGTTTAAGTTTTGCCTCCGTAGGGATAATGCCTCCAATGTGACACTAATAACGTCTAGTGCAACAGTAATGATGTCTTTATATATATATAATATATATGGTTTTTAT